CTTCCTCCCCACCAAACCAGGATGCTGGATGCTACTACTGTATTCCCAGGGCCTAGGTACGTCCTATAACTCCTCTCAAAATGTATCTTATGCTGCAGGTGGCATAGTGCGCCGTCCCCGCCGCTCCCCGCCTGTCTGTTGAGGTCCCTTTGTCCGGTGAGTTCCTCTTAAGCCCACAAATCCCCCCTTAGCCCCCACCCTCCTATAGTCCTATTCCTCGTCAAAATATGGATATAAAACTGATATTCAAGCTTTATTGTCCCTCAGGAGCACCACTAAATCGGAAATTTCATTTTGTTCAGCATGTATGCCCCAGACATACATAGATATCAAGGGAATGGACCATATTGGTCCCTTATATGTATTACAACTATACATCATCGGCGACGTAGAATATAATGACAATTTACTGAATTTTATACGATTTTATTCGAGGTGCTACACACTACCTATTGCCGACGTCGTCGGGAACAGCGACAACCAGCGTCGGGCACGGCGGCACTGTGATGTCATCGGGCGCCATCAGTCCCCTTTTGGCAGCTGTCTATTTTGGTACGTCGGTCCACGCGACGCTACGGCTGGGGCCAGTGCTACCGCCGGAGTCTTCTGGAGGCTCCGTACTCTACTACCCTACAAGGCTGGCGGTGTTCCCGGTGCTTCCGCCGGAGTTAGGAGAAACGTCTTTTGAGTCTTATAAGCGTGGACGCGCTGCTCGATCGTCCACTCTTATAAGCCTTGTTCTTTGGGAAGGTCAGGTGGCTCAAAACCAGAAGTGCTGCTCGTTCGATTGAGCGCGTCCAAAAGAGTGAGGAAGCAATGATGGCCGGCGATCCGGGACCACGGTCATGTGATGTGCTCACCGGTCGCGGCAAGGCATCGAGAATTTCCGTGGCTAGTTATGTGGACGAAATCCGTCGACGTAGATTACATGCCACATTATTCTCCTCATAGCAATTCTGAGATGTACGGACCGGGTGCCCAGGCTGAGTATTGACCCAATTGGGGCTCTTATCATGCTTGTGCATATATCTCGAAAAAGCCTCAGGAAATAAATGTGCCGGCCACCAACGGAGAACACATCACATGACCCTGGTCCCGGATCGCCGGCCATCATTGCTTCCTCACTCTTTTGGACGCGCTCAATCGAACGAACAGACGAACGGACGAACGAAATAAGAATTGAGCAGCACTAGAGGCTTCATCCTGCTCCTGCATACATACAACGCAAACGGCCCATACGGGCCGGCTTCAAGACGAAGGCTGTCCCCAACAGCAGGGGGAGATCATGCTTGAGCGAGAGCTTGCAAAATACAAGTTTAGACGAACCTGTGCTCTGCTGGCTCTCGTCAAAACAGACATAAACATACCCGCCCCAAGCTCGCACGGATTCGGGACTTGGAAGACCATACGGCGCGTTGTGCTTCTGATGACCTCTTTCCATGGCGAGTCCTGGTTCCTCCTTGTTGCTTGCTGGTCGATTCCCAGCGCCGAGAACTCGCCGCGACGAGTGTCGAGGCAGGCCGTCTTACAGTATAGCGCGTCCTACAGCTTATCTCGAGGTGTCCCGAGCTGGGCAAACAGTCCCAGCTCAGGTTATGCCTGATACCAGTCCGTCCGTTGGTTGCAATGCTTGCCGAGGGCCCTCCCAACTAAGCCGCCGGCTACGGCTACGAGGTAATGGCTGTGGTGCATGTATATGTACGTGGAGACCCGGAATATGTGTATGTGAACCTTCCCCCAATTTTTTGTGGTACCGAGGCCGCTGACGATGATGGTCTGTAGACGGATGCGCCGGGTAAGTTTGTTTCTTGGTTCTGGGTGGACTATCCCTGTCTATGCGCGTCTCTTGTAGTTGCTCAGGTTGAAAGCTGTGCTTGTGCGGCGGATGGCTGGTATGTTCATATCCTTCCTCGTTCCTTTATCTGATAAAGCTGCACCCAGAATCTCCTGAGGCGCACATTTTATTCGTGACAAACATGCAGTACTAGTACAGCACAAGGATGAACTGGCGAGGGACTGTTGAGGTCCTTCGATCAAGGCCCGTACGTGTTCTCCACGCATCTACACACGCAGCACGTACGTGAACCCATCCCACGCCTTCTCGCCCACAGTTTGGAGGGTCGTTGCCTCGAACTCAGTGCTGTTCTTCAAGTCCTCCAGCATCTTCCGGACACCCTTCGAGTTCTCGTCCTGGAACGACATATCACTGACGCGTCCCTGCCGAACGGTATTATCCACAATCTGTCTTCCGTCAGCCACCGCCCTGACACCACGAAGTACCCAACCAGCACTACTTACAATCACACCACCCTTCCGCACGAGCTTCTTGCAATACTCGAGGTACACCGGGTTCCCCGCCTTGTCCGCGTCGATGAACGCAAAGTCGAACTTGTTTGCGGGGTCCATCTTCGCGAGCGAGTCCGCCGCGGGGCCGACGAGGATCTTGACTTTTGAGGCAAGGCCGGCGTGCGCGATGTTCTCCCCCGCGACCCGCGCGTGCTTGGGCTCGTACTCGCAGGTGATCAGCTCTCCGTCGTCTGGCAGCGCGCGCGCGAGCCAGATGGCCGAGTATCTATCTCAATCAACGCAGCCCGTCAGCACCGCACCGCACCAAAGTCACGACCAGCGCCCACCCTCCGAGTGTCCCGAGCTCGAGGATCCGCTTCGCGCCGATGGTGCGTGCCTGCAGGTTGAGGTATTTTCCTTGCAAGGCGGTTACGGCGATGGGGTCGAGCTCGTTCGCGTCGCTGTTCCTGACGGCGAAGTCGAGCGCCTCGTCGGGCTGGGTGAGGAAGGACGCATGGTACTTGTCCTCGCGCTCCCAGGCGGGCTCGACGGTCTGCGACATAGCGGTTTGTTTATGTGTGTGTGTGTGCAGGGTTTATCTGATAAGATGGGATGGTGAGGACCGCTGTCGTTTGCCCCAGCATTTATATTGCAGCGTCTTGCTTCCTGGTTTGTTTGGACATCGGAGTCAGTCAGTTGCCCCTCCCCCCTCCTCTGTGAACGCGGTGGTTGGACCACCGATGTGCTGGCAAAGTCACTGAATCGTCATTGACTATCGAGAGCCTCGGGTTGGTCATTCAAGTCGCATGTTGCATGCCCGAATGCTAGTGGTAGTCCCCTGATGCCATATCCGCAGTCGTTCCAGCCTCACTGCAGGCGATGTTACGTGCTTGACTGCGCATCGAGCGGTGACTCGGAACGTGTGAGATTAGAGAACGAGAGAAAGTGCGCCGAGGTCGTCGTCCGCAGCAGCTGTGGATGTGGGGTGGCGGAGGACGAATAGTAGTTCTGATCAGGTTATCTGATAAGATGACTCAACAGCAAGATAGACGCTGGCACTTGCATCTCGACGCTGAGCCCGGGTAACAGGGAAGCTAGTGTACTGCGTATAGCACAGTCGCCGCAGTCGATGTCGATGAAGCTTGGACATAAGGGGATCGGGACATGGGAAGGAGGAAATGAGGATGAAGGGGCCATCGTGATATACCGCACCACCCAGCCTGATCGTCTGCTGCCTTGCAGGCGGAAGAATCTATGCGCATGTACTCCTGGCCTTCCGACCCAACAATATGTCTTGCTGATGCTGAAGGAGAACGTCGCTGTAGGGCTACTGTGTTTGTTCACTGGCGGTGTAAGGTATCACGGCCCTTTCGGATTGGCGGGATGTTGGGTGTCGGTGGTGATGCGAACTGGTGGAGGATACCAAGCCCGATGTCAATTCCTATTGGTTGCGAGCGAGCACGGCGGTTTGGCGGATACGGCGATTGGCCTGCCAGATATGGATGGCCAGTCAGGCGTCCGAGCGCTGGTGCTCTGCACGGCAACCTTCCCAGTTTGTGCTTCAGTGTTTTCATGCCAAACAGATGTTGGAGCGACTGTGGGAATCAGAGAGGTGACACCGCTCTGTTTCTCAGGCTGTGGCAAACTGCACGGATTCCAAATTTAGCAACATTCTTTCCTTTTTGAGTTATGTTTATCTTTCGTTCTCTTATCGTAACTCTTTATCACTCTGACAGCTCATATAGCGTTGTGATAGCCTTTTGACGTATCTAGATTGTTGTACTGTACCTTGCGAGCTCGAGGACCTTATGTACAACGCCCCCGTAGATACACCCCCATCTTTGCACTTGTTCGTTAGACGTGCTAAGTGGGGTGAGTTTGTATTCACGAACCCGTTCGTTCATGGACTTACCATTACCTGTAGTTTACTTGTCTGTTCGTTCACAGGTAATGCAATATCTTTGCACTTGTTCGTTAGACGTGCTAAGTGGGTTTACTTGTCTGTTTGTTCACAGACGTGCACGTCTACGCAAAGGTCGAATATATTATATTTTTTTAACAACAGAGTGTCGAAAGGTACAACTCGAGTACTGTATCACCGTCCCGTACCTGACCCCATTGGGGTTCAGTATACACGCAATACCCAAGCTCCTGGCATCCGAACACGGATACCATTCAGACCCAGCTAAGATCAGGCATTGATATGCGAGCGGACCATCCCATCGCTCGCTTCCACCGTGCCAGTACGTGTCCTCGGTGTCAGCCAGCTGATCCTCCCATCTCGATGTCGACGTATGAAGGCTTGCTTGATTGCTGGAGCGGTCTGGATGGCTATATGCTGGTCAGGCAGGCGTTGATAAGCCTCAGGATCATCTGACCCCCGAAAACGCGGACTCCGCACATCATACAAGCCCCCCCGGAGCTTATTCGACACAGCGCTCTCACGCCTCTAGGCTTCTATGGGCTCTAAAAGACTTTTTTTTCTATTTAGCTCCGGACTTCCTAACATCCTCGAGGCGTACACGGACCCATTCTGTGATTTATCTCCGCGCACCGAAGCTCCAGAGTGACTTAACCAACGCGACTTCTAGCTGAATTAGCTCCGGGACCCGCGGACACTTCTATCGAGGGGCGTCGTCCTCATGCCCACCCTCCAGCACTCACTCCCCCTCGCTTCCATCAAGATACCGAAGGTGCGGACGCATACGAGTCACCATGAGGCCAGCATCAGTCAGCAAGCAGCCAGAGGTAATTAGCACGTGACCGGTGCGTCACACGGAGTGATGGGACCGCTTGGATCAGGTGGCAGAGCATCAAGGCGACCTCTAGGGGTTGGGACGAGCAAGTAGGAGTGCAAGGGAGTCGTGTGGTGCATGGTATAGCGGCGGCAAGTGCTGAGCAATCCTGTGGGTAGCGGCGGTTATTTGTTATTTATCTCTGGATGGTCGCAAAGCCATTCCTGTAGTATAAATTGTACAAAGTAGCATACAGAAAAACAAGTTTCGACTTCACCATCTCAGAGAATTAGTGTTATGATCTCAGCAACCCGAGAAGTTCGAAAGCGTCGAACTTAGCGAATTATAACCGATCCTAGCTTTGCCAATAGGCCTGACTCGTCGAGTGAATTATCTCCGCCATCGATTCAATTAGCTCCGGTGAGGCTCACATAGCGAAACAAAATTAAGCAACTCTTTCTAGCGTCTTCTACTCCCATGAGCCCGAACCTACACTCGGTTCCGTGGTTTGCGACTTTGCTTGCGCCGTTTCGGAGATAAATACTCCGGAGCATCCATTAGTGTTTGTTTCAGGCATCAAGGTTTTGTTTTATTTTTCTAGGTCTTCCTACGGACTACCCTACGGTGTCTTACTCCTCCTTTCCCCCTCGAACTATTAAAAATACCCCTCAGTTGTCTCGGACCGCCTTCACCCATATCACGGGGTTTAGGTTTATTTACTTTGGTCCTTGGTGATTGTTGTGTGTCAGTGCATATCAGCGTGCAATCATGAAACCTTGATGACACGGCGCGAGTCTCCCGCATGATGGCCGCTTCTCCCTGGTTCGCGTTCTGAGTCTGATGACCGAGGACAGGCCAAGACACGTGCTAGAGAGCTCGCGATGCCTTCCGCTAGTCTACACTTGAGATGGACATAGACTTCAAGTTACAATACGACGCCCGGGCTTGGATCACTTAACCTTATCTACTCCAGGACGACCTTCTCCCAGTGCGAGGGACACGGGCAAAATCGAACAGTTTAGATACTTGGAAGCCTAAGGGAGCACAGAACCGGGCTGCTGGTGAGACATTGCGTCCTGCCGCCTTGGAACCAAAAGGGGGAGGTGCCTTACGGCTTGCCTAGAACCTGTGGCTCTTCAGGAAACAGAATGTGGACTTGCATCCCTTCGGCCGCATTGGTATTTATGCAATCTCCCATGCCACTGGGGCGTAATATGGACATGCTGAAGGCAACTGGACGCTCATTGGTACGTTTGCCGTAAACCCTTTCCTGGTTCATCAGCCGACGGGGAGAACACTGGCCACCTTAGCTGTGTCGTGGCACGCCGACCCGGTGATAGGCACTAACACATGACAACACCAAAGACCAAAAAGAAATAAAACCTAAAACACCCAGCGGTATGGGTGTAGGCGGTCTAAGGCCATTGAAGGGTAATATTTAAGTTCGAAGGGAGGGGGAGAAGTTAGACGCCGTAGGGTAGCCCGTAGGAAAACCTAAAACAAACAAAATCTTGAGGCCTGAAACAAACAGTATAGCGATTCTCCAGAGTATTTATCTCCGAAGTTCGCCAGTAGCCCGGGTGGGGAGTTCCACTGAACCCGAACAATAGTCTCGTGCCTACAGACGCTTGGTGAATTTTATACTTTAAATCCGGAGCTTACTTGGATCGATATGCGATGGCGGAGTTATCTAGTTTCGACGAGTCAGGCCTATTGGCAAAGCTAGGATTGATTGTAGACGCTAAGTCCGACGCGAAGGGACTCCGAGGGTCGCTGAGACGATAATTCTGGTACGCTGAGAGGGTGAAGTACAAAACTTGGATTTTCCACTACGCTCCATACATTTTTATGCTATTGGAATGGTTTTGCGTCCGCCCGGAGTTAAATAACAAATATGCTCCGCATCCCACACAATTACTCAGCCTTTGCCCACCGCTATACCATGTCCCATACGATCCTGCCGTGTTTCCACGTGCTCGTCCTAGGTCCTATAGGTAGCCTCGACGCGTCAATGCTCGCTTGAAGTGCCTCATCACGCGGTACTGCAGGCTGATCACGTGCGGATTAGCTCCGGCCGCTTGCTGACTGATACGTT